AAAGATTTATCTACAATTTACTCTCAAATGGTTCCGAAAAATATGTACATATATTTTGTATGTGTGTGGAGAGAAACAGAGAGAGAAAGTTAACATTTCGGAAATCGGAGTGAAGGGTATATGAAAAATTATGCTTGCAATATTTTCTAAGTCTGAAAATACCTTGGTACAGAATATTATATTGATGTGTGCGCAGACTGTTTTTAAATATGTTTTGTATATGCTATTATCATGAGTTGAATTACATATATGAATTGAATAGCTGTATTTGACATATGTTATGTGTGTGTATAAATATGTAATTCAATTATTTTAAACTATTTAATTTGACCCACCCCTGTTTTTATTTGATTTTAAAACTTTCTGTCTAAATTATTTACCAGTCCCCTTCTGTAAAGCAGTAATTCCATTTAGAAATAACTGTCCTACAGGTGAAATAAAATGACAGGTAATCTTCAATTAGTATTGAGAGATCTAAGTTTCACTTTAGGTCTTGTGAAGAGACGTAAGTTTCACTTTAGCATCGTGAAGTCTTCCAAAGTCAAATCATGTTTTGAAACGACTGGAATTATCCTAGTCATATAGTGTGCATTAAACAGTAACTGTCCAAGTGCCAAAGCTGGCAATGGCTTCTACTGCTTTGCCACATCAAAGTAACAGCCACAGCAATTTTTTCAGTGACAGACTATGGAAAATTAGCTGGATATTCCTTCTACTGTTTCTAACTCAATCATTTTCACAGCTCCAAATTTCAGCCATCCCCCAAATGACTACTGATACCCAACAAGCCTAAAGGAGAGCCAAAGCCACGTCTGACAACATCAGGTCAGGCAGCAGAGCCTGTCAACGCTAAGTGAATGTTTTCTTTAATCTGGCTTTCCTTTTACAATGCAAACAGAAACTGCAACTTCTATCCCCAAGCAAAACCATCTCTCTTCCAAATAACTTTAAGGAAGACTGCAATGTTTAAGATGATTAGTGAAATTTCTCACGGCGACATAGCACTTTATGGTCACAAATCACTTTTACATCAATTATCCCATATTCCCTTTACAGTACTTCTGTGAGAAGTTCCATTGTAAAGAATAGGAAAGTAAAGTGCAAAGATTTCAGAACCTTGCATGTACGGAATTTGGGGCCACAATCTATGTTTCTATATTCCCAAAAGGTGTTGGGGGAGAGCAGGAATCACTAGGTAACACTATTTATGAACTATAAAACTTTCAGAAAGTAGGTTAAATATACAGAAGGAGCAGGATTGGAAAAAGAGTGAGAAAAAAAGTAGGTTAAATGTGAAAACAAAACAACTGGCAACAATAGTATCTAAAGTACATTTCACTGAAAAAGTTGGATGGAATATTTTCCTGAGAACAAATATATTATCACTCACAGTGTTCCAGAAAGAACTGGGCTCTAGGGACCTGACTTCAAGTCCCAGCAAAACAACATACCAGGCTCATGAACTCCAATAGGCCATTAACCTCGTCAGCTCAATGTCTACCTTTGTGAAACTGACTTTCCTTTCAGAGTTATGGGAATGGACTTCTGTTCATTGTAAAGCTCTAGACACAATACTATTTACGATCCTATCTTTATAAAATGGAATTCTTTGGGCCCCAAATAGATCAGCTCTCTGTGTTCTCAGTCTCAGCAAACGGCACCCAGTTATTCGGGGCAAAAACCCTAGTCTCATTCCTATTACTCACCCAAATATCAAATTAAACTCCTTTAGGACAAGTCTAAATTTCTTATCTTAAAATGACCCTTCATTATCTGGCCTCATCTCCTGACATTTTTCCGTATGTACCCTTTAGTCTTGCCATAACAAGACACAACTTTATGTGTCCTAAAACTTCTGAAATTTTCCATCTCCATGCCTTCCACATGCTATGAAGTTCTTCCTAGAACACCCTTACTACTACCCTCATTTGGTTAATTCCTACATGTCCTTCAACACTCAGCAGAAGCTATTGTGGACGACTTTCCCAAATGCTACAGTCTTAAGAAAATACACTGTTTTAGGCCTCTGTCCCTGCACACGCGTCTTCACCATGATGCAACAAGCGTTAGTTTCATTTCTCCCTCTAGATCAATGTTGTCCAATAGAACTTTCTGCAATGATGGAAATGATCTACATCTGTACTGTCTAATATAGTAGCAACTAACCACAGGCAACTATACGAGTACTTGAAATGTGGCTAGTTCAACTAGGGAACTGAATTTTTCATTTTATTTAATTTTATTTATTTTAAATCTAAACATAATAGCTACCTGTGGCTAGTGGCTATGATGCTGGACAGCACAACTCTGGACAGCACAACTCTAGAGGGTCTGTCAACTCTGAAGATGGGTCATGCTTGTATCTGTATTCCCAGCACCTGCCACCTTGCATAGTGTAGGATTCAGAGTTTATTGAAAGAATAAGGAAATGTGTAAGTATTCATACATACTTTTGTATTCTTGGGAAGTGATTTCTCCCAATACCCCAAGCATTCTATCACATTCAAACATTCACCACATCAAATTGTGCCAAACCCAGTCACATCTTGTAAAGCACACCTCATTAACTAACATGGAAAAAACCCTCAGCAAATAATTTCTACTCAGGGCATTTGGCTTCATGATCACTCTTAAATGACTTCCAGATGACTCCAAGACAAAGTTATGCTGTTTATGAAATATTACAATAGTCATGGCAGCATCATTTTGGAATGTCAAAATCAACTACATTGTTTAATAAGGAAAAAGCATAGGCTTTTTATATTTATTTTAGTATTTATATTAATGTGAAAAATAAATTCCCTTGAATGCCTACAGTACTGTAAAAGTTATTAAAGACTATTTTGAAGTATTCTTTAAAAATAACATTCTGCTCTCCTAATTGAATTCATTTTTGAAATACCATACAACATTTAGAGAGAGTATACGGACTTGATTTGATGGGTTTCATTACTATGATAGGAGAATATGGAGAGAATATGACCTTGCTACAAAGAATGAGCAGCCAAATTCAATTTGATTCCAATTAAAAGTCCTGGTTGGCAGAATTCATGAGGTTGGCATATGGTTGGTTATTTGAGATTTTAAGAAATCCAAGACGTGAACTTCGCTAAGCAGATTAACCAGGTTTGACTCCACATCCAGGTCCTCACTTCCAAATTCCTTAAAGATAACAGGCAATCAAAGGCATCAACAAAGATGGTCTGCACACAATGGCCCCATCCAGAATGAGGGGAGCTTCTCCATTGCTGGCCTGGTACATTACCTATCCCATAGTGATTAAATTATACAATGGCTGAACAACCATTTGTTAATGTCCTTCCATTGCATAATTACTTCTGTAAAGAGAGACTAATCCTATAGTGTCAAATTGTATGTGAAATAAAAAGGAAGAGGTAAAGCATCTTAAGGCTGGATAAGGGGGATGGAGGTGGAAACTTCAAATGGATGGTTTGCTTCTTTTAAACTCAATTGAAAAATATTAATTAAAAATAAATTTATTACAAAATAATTAATGTTCACTATAGAAAAAAAAAACATAGGAGGCAAAAATAAAACATATACTTTTACCCAAAGATAACATTTGGTATATACTCTTCTGCTTTTTTTTCTTATGCACTTTGAAAATAGTAAAATAAACATTAGCCAGCATTTATATAACATTCATTCTGTTTCATGTACTGTCCTAAGCATTTAACATAAATGAATTCACTCTGTCTTCACTAGAACACTATGAGGGAGGGACCATTATTAGCTGCACCTTTCAGACAAAGAAACTGAGCAGAAAGAATAATTTGACCTAGCTCATAAACTTGTAAGTGGCGAATAATCTCTGTTCAACTTTTGCTGTGGGAGCATTATGTTCGACTAACTAGTGTGGGAGGAAACATTTCTCTGTATTAAATCTTTAACTACTATTTCAATATTCTATGAGAGTACACAACCTGGGTATCTTATTTGACTCCTGTTCCCCATTCTCTAGGGGAGGGGCCAAGCTAAAAGATGGAGGACATTCGCTGACTTGGATCTAATACTCAACAGCTGGGCTGTATGACACAATCTGTAATATGAATATAGATTCCTTCAGGGCTATATCTCTTTGATGTTCTTAGTATCAAACTGTCACCCTCCTACCTCTATATATTATATAATCCATTAGCTTGGCCTTTAGAAGCCTATATTAACTTAATTCAAGTCGATTTTATTTTTTCACTGGGATTCTTAAAATATAATATACAGTTCACTTAATAATATAATTAAGTGGCATGAAGCTTAAAGCATTTAATCCAACAGTTCTTTTAAAACCCAAAGTGCCTATTTTGATTATGGATTTCAAAAAAGTGTGGAGAGCACAACAAAAAGGAGGTTGAAACAAGGAGAAAATATTTCTACAGTGCAAACTGTTAAATTGGAAATGTAAGATGCAACTGACAAGTTCAGAAACGTTCTCAAAGTTAAAGGTGCTCATAGAGACCTGGACAGTGTTTCATGCCTTCACCCCATTTCCAAAGGTCATCTGCAATTGTCCAAGGGGTCCTACCCTCAGTTTTCTGCTGGCTTGCTGTTGAGATTGTTGCTCAATGACCCTGAAACACCTTGTGTTATTTTTTGTGGTTCTGTTACCCATATAGCAACTCCTTGGCAACAATGGTAATTATACAGCAGCCTTGTTATCTCAGAATAACACTGTAATTAACTGGTGTCACTGCAGCATTTGCAGTTATAATAATTGCAGCAAAAAAGTCCTGTGGAAGTAGCATTTTTTAAGTTACGGCTTTCAAAAATAGCTTCGGCAACTATGCTACTTAGAAAACCAAGTTTATTTCCTCCAAGAAACATGATTTCCTCCAAGAAACATGATTTCCTCCTCACAAAGCCCACTGAAACTAAGCTATCAGAATGTCTCCTAACAGAAAACATCAGACTTTCTCTGTAGCAAAAGCTTCCAAAATGAATTGGGGAAAAAGTCATACACACACATTTCTCAAAGTAATACTTACAGCTCTTCTAGAAAAGGAAAGTTCTTAAATGCATCTTCTGGCAACTGAGTAATGTTGTTCATACTGATATCCCTGGAAAACATAAAGTTAAGAATATTGTTAATTAAGTGGCATGAAGCTTAAAGCATTTAATCCAACAGAAAACTAACTAGGTGCTACAATTTTGTGAAAGGGCATAGAAGACACATAGAAACAGTCACAATTTGGCTTCAGAATGCAAAATTCAGAAAACACAGAAAAGCTAAATGTTTTGTTATAAATTATGTCGCATAATTTAGAAATATACTCAGATCCTGTATTTTCCCCTCTTAAGTATCATTGGAAAAAAAGTCTCAAACTACCTACAATAAGTGGGCCAGGGTGACTTCCCTGTGCTCTGGTATTCATGGCAGTACACATACCTATCAAAATAAACCAATGACTACTCTAGGAACGATACATAGAATTTGCAGGTGAGGGTGGCTTCTGGAGTCACTCAAGGACAATAAAAGCATGTCCTAGCTCTACCCTAGTCATATTTTCTTCAAAACCTATAAAAGTCCTCCAGGTAACAGTTGTCAGTGGATTTCATGTTCTGCCTATGAACAGATGCAGGCTAAGGACAAGTGCATACATGATAGGTATGCGGTCCATTTCCAGTTTTCCCTTAAGAGCGTCCACAGAAAGAAAACTCCCCCAACAATATAACGCAACAATTCACTAGTTCAAACAGCTAAAAAATACTTTATTAACCATTTCCCTCTTCCCTGGCAGCTGCCTTTTGAACTGGCTTTCTCTGCCACACTCCACTTGAGGTCAGCACCGTGAAAGACAGGTTAAAACAGCCCCATAAGGGAAAGTCCCAGCATGCGCTGGGGCAGTGGAGCTGCCTCCTTCAGTTCCATGGTGTTTAATTCTGTGGCTGAGCCCTTGGGTCTCCCCTCTCGAGAACCTGGCATGAAAGTTCACATGTGAGACATGCCCATTAGTACAGTACATATATTGGTATGAGGAAGGAGAAGAGAAATGAAGCATACCAAAGTCAGCTAACAATACTAATACTGTGTTATTACATCCATTCCATCAGGTAAAATTTTCTTTTAAAGGAGGCGACACCTTCAGTATCATGCTAGGTACAACCTTTCTCCCCATCTTTCCTCTCACTAAAATTTAGAAATGGAATCCACATCCTTTCTTACTAGACTTTCCCAATGCAGGTTTGGAAAAGTTTTTGGCTTGGGAATAACAGTAACAGTAGCAGCAACAAAAACAGCAGGAGCAGCAGCTAAGATGCAGTGCATGCTTGTAACATGGTAAGACTAGACAGAAAATCTTACTTTACAAATGGGGAAACTGAGGCTTACTGAGGTTAAAAAAGCTTCCCCAAGACCATTCAGCAAGCGGTATAACAGAAAACACCAGAGCCTATGACGTTAAGTGCAAATCATGAGTCTTCTTAAGTATTATTTGAATCCTGTTATTAATACTTCTCTCCAGTGGTAGTCAAAATGTAAAACAAATACTTGAGTCCCATCAAGCTTAAAAACTGGGAAGAATAATGCCCCTAACACCTTCACATAATTATCCATGAATCTCTGGAAGAGCACTTTTGCTTGACAACTGGGGTTTAAAAAAAAAAAAAAAAAAATAAAAAAAAAAAAAAAAAAAAAAAAAAAAAAAAAGGAGGACCAGGAATAGCTTTAGCAATTAAGGAACCAACATTAACCAATACTAATATACATTTCTTAGCACAAGAAATTTCCCTTTAGATGAATCTTATGACCACAGAGACATAAGTGCACTCTAAAATTTTGTATCACTGAAAACAACTCAAGTCCTACTAAAGAAACTTATAAGAAAAGTCAAATTACTATGCTTCTCTAGGAATTACTGTTTTAAAACCCAGGCCTCAATACTACTTTAGTCAGTGATCATTAGCCCTGGGGGAAGGGGAGAGGAAATGCTTTGTTTTTCATAAACACTCTAGCAAGATACTGGAGAAATGGCATCAAAACAGGGGTCAGAAAAGGCAGGCGCAACTCCCACCCTGCCACATAGCCATTGTGTGATACTGGGCCTCCATCTGCTCATCAGTAAGTTGAAGCTGATTGTTTGGGTGGCTTCCTGGCCTGACATGATATACTGTCGCCTTTATACTGACATTATATGCTGATTCACCCTTTTCTGTAGTTTCTTCATGGAGGAGTCCACCTTTTCAGATAAAAACAGATGAGATTCATTTTACAGAATGCTTCTGAAAAATTTATCACGACGCAAAGTTTAAAGACTATCCCTCTGTCATTGTTAAATTACTAAGTCACTCTCATGGGAGATACATTTGGCCTTAACCAGTAAAATCCTTCTCAAGAATACAACAAAACATTTAATCATATCGAAAGCAAAATAATGATCCGATATGAGTAAACAATCATTCTGTAAAATATCAGACAGTTGTGGTGCTTTTTAGTCATTCCAATAAAAAGAGAAAGGACAACAATAACTGCTTTACAAAATGAGGCATTCTGTACAGTTTCCTCTAAGCTTGGCACACCTGAATTCAGGTGAGATATCACTGTAACAGAAAAACTGATTAATTTCCTCATCAGAAAAAGGTCTGGGAGAGAACCAATTAATTACCTCACCAGAAAAAGACACATAATTAGAGACAATTTACACCACACTATTCCAGTTTTTTAAAACATGCACACACATACACACACACAGCTCTCATTTTTTTCCTTATAGTAACAAGACATAACAGGTAGTTTTGCTGTGAGCTGTTAATGCAATTAGTGAGACTCCATATTTACAAACTAATATATGTAAAACACACAGTGAGTTTTTCTTTCAAAGCTTCAGATTCAGGAGCAATACTTATTTCTAAATTTTTCTTAATTTCACACACCCGGAGAGGTTCCCTCTTTACAGATGTTTTCTCTCATACTTTCTGGGATTCAGTTACAACATTTATGAAGTAAAAAGTTGGGGGTGGGGGCAGTGGTGAGCTACAAGATGCTATCTCTGGAGAAGCTCTGGAAACCTGTGGTGACAGAGTATAGATGCGTGGGTATCCATTTAAAATAATGAGGGCTGATGGTGATAAGCAACCTATGGATAGTCTTAAGAGTAATTCTAGACCTGACATTACCAACACCATAAAGAGACTTTATAAATAAGAGGTTAGAAATGATGACCTATGACAATAATTACAAATATATGAGGCTCAAAAGCCATATAAATTACTATGATACATAAATAAAAGGAAATAAAAGGACGTTGTTTAAAGAATTTTCAGCCAGAAGATGCTCCCACAGATTAGTACCTTCAAATTCACATGAGTAGCACAATCTTACCAGTGGCATCAGTAATAAATCCCAGGAATTCACCTTCTGGGATAGAGAACTAAATATAAATATATATCATATGAGGTCAAAGCACCACCAACTCACAAATATCTCAGAAGGACAATTTCCAGAAAGCTGATGGCCTTACTTGGAGCCAGCATTGAATATAGGCTTTGGCGCCAGACAGACCAAGGTTTACATATGAATTTACTACCACTAGCTGTGTGATCTTTGCAAATTGTTCATCTTTTCTGTGCCCTGGTTTCTTCATTTGTAAAATGGAAGCAGTAATAACTGAACCTTATAGACTGCTGTGAAGATCAGAAAATGTCAGGTCATGTGTAATAAGTTCAACAAGAAAAAGCTGTTATCTCATCATCATCCCCTGTTTTTGCTGCTCCTGGAAGCCATCTGAATACAATGGACCAAGACCAGACTAAAAGGAGACACCACATTGCCTTTGTTAGCCTTCTCAGAAAGAAATCACTTTTACAGAAGACACTAAATGTTGCAGAAGACCTAGAACTTGGAGCGGTTGCTCCTAAACACAAAACTAAACTCCAGAACCCCAGGAGACAAAGATTTTAAGCTGGGAGAACCCTTCGAGATCAAATACTTCATTTAAACAAAAGATTAGAAATACAAAAGCACACCACCTTCCCAGAAAAATAAACATGAACTCCCAAATACCAGCAGTCATTGATTTCAAAATTAAAATTTAAAGGGTGCAATTGTTTAATTGAAACTGCCAAATCTCTCCAGTGGTTAAACTCTCATCTTTTTTCCCCCATAAAATTCACTAATGCTAAAGTATCTACAGAGTAAAGAATATCATGTTTCAACAAGGTACCTTTTAAGATCCCTGTAAAATGATCCCTGAGCGAGCCCAACCAGTTTGCTGATGGCTAAGCATGTACCACTGTGGACTCTAACACTGCATCCTTACTGGGTCTGGGCCTTCTGCCACAGAATTATTTAATTTTAAATATACTGTGATTGACCCAATGTTATCTAAATTTGAACAAGCCCTCCTATTTGTATTAGATAAAACTGTACTGCTACTACTATATTGTTGATTTTATCTCAAATATTACCTGGCAGTTTAAAAAGTCACTGAATTATATACAGGTTCAAGAGAACACAGGGTTCTCTAAAGTGTTCTCTAGGAAAAGAAAAAAAAATGATGGTGATGTCCATAAACTCAAAAAACACATGTTGATAATGACCAAGAAGGTCACCTTCAAATCTTAAAAATAAATTTAAAAAAAAAACAACTCTCCCAATGACTTTTCCAGGGTCTATAGTATGACCAAAAACTAAAAACTAAAAATGAACTTTGCAAAATGCCTCCGGTGGAACAAATTTGAAGGGAAGGTCTCTCTCAACCACAAGTAGTAAAGACACACGTAACACCAAAGTTCTAATCAAAGTTCATTAAGGATTTGATTTCTGACACTATTCCATATCTTTGGGCAAGTAATCTCATTTTCTCCCCACCTTTTTATAATAACCAAAGTATCCACTGTTAATTGTTTTTAAAAAATTGAAATACAGAGAAAACCATCCACAATATCAACACCCGCTGGTACCACTGCCATATTTCATGAATTTTATTACGTATTTTTTCTATGTATGGTACATATTTTTACAAATCTGAAATCGCATAGTTCTGAACATGTTCATCTCTTGACACCAAAAAGATTCTTCATTTGCAAAATGAAAACAATCTTCCTCGAAAATACC